AAGCCAATTCACGAGATGTGACCCTATCCAGCACAAAACAATTCATTTAATGAGTAAGATGAATGCATCACAAAATTACATACCCAACAAAAGTGAAAGCATTCTTTATCTTTAAAAACAAATTGGATTAAAATATAACCCTACCATTTAATGAAATTTCTCACTTTTAATATAATTCACTTACTGAAGCACAGGCCAAAATTCCAAAAAATCCAACCTTCTGTACTAGGTTTTGAACCGCCAGTTTAGCCCGGGAGGCAAAGTCCTGTAACACAGAGGATTTTAAAAGATTAATGAAAAGTACAAGGAAGAAGAAAAGATGGCTCTTTATAGAGTTTATTATATTAAATATCTCATAGTCTGAAGACACTGATTCATTTAATGAGTAAGATGAATGATTAAAAAAATCATTGCAGGCTGATCATGGGAAAACATGCAAATAAAATCCTGATAAAAGATTACATCCTTGACGTTAAACTTTTACCACATTTGAAGAATAAACCGAAGCACAGTCACTTTATTTTTAGGATTTTTCTGGATTTTCTAGGGATGAACAAAATATTATAAAACCATGACCCAACTCATTCTTTTGGAAATTCTGGCCTACCTCATCTATCTTTTTCTCTCTCCTTCTACAACTTGCCAGACTTAATCCCTGATTAACAGTAGAGGAGGAAATCACAGCACTTTCAAGACAGCCAATGAAGACACCTCTGCTGATCATCACTAGCCAGAAGATGGAAAAAAAGTTATGTGGCAATAACTAAGCATTCATTACCTCTCAGACAAAGTAACATCCTACATTTGCACAGGTTTTATAAAATGTTTTCACAACATTGCCTTTCAACAATCCTGGTAATAGGCAGAGCAGATAGTATTATACCCAATCTATAGACCACAAAACTGCAGCTCAGAAAGGTAAAGTGCTCAAGATTACAATGTTAGTAAGGGACAAAGATAGGATATGATTTAATCTTCATACTCTGAAATCAGTGCTTTCTATTTCACTATGCCACCTCCTCCCATGCTGATATAAGCATTCGGCTCGTTAGTTTATTTCTATGATTTTCTTCTTTCAGGATGCTGATGATATAATACTTATGTATACATTTTTTTCTTAGAAGTCTCAATCTGAATTTTTTTTTTTCCTTTTTGTCTTTTTTTGTGACCGGCAA